GAGAGAAGATCAACCTCTTTCAGCCCGACGGAACGCTTCGTTCCACCACTCGTTGGCAAAGCCTTTCCTTTGGCGAGTGGTTCGTTAACAGGCGCGAGGGTTGCAGCCCAGGCAGGTAGGCACAGCAATCGCAACAGTACGGCAAGTTGGTCCTGAACAAATGTTCTTGAGTCTTGAGTGGAAATATTTGGCTGTGGGTCATGGCACCAAAATACCCTGGTTGACTTAGCTGGTGTCGGTCTTTCGCTACATAGTGTACCAGGGCGACCTTGGTTGAACAACCCAGCCCCACATGTGGTGTCTGCAAGATGGGGTCCTGACAAAGCAAAATCACCTTCTCTGCCTCTTGCACGAAGATTTCATCATGTTCTTAACCAATGCGGGACACTTCGCAAGAATTGCTTTTCTGTCTTGGATTTGCCCTGGCCTTCAAAGATCATATAAAGAACATGGTTGATCAGATATTAAATCAATGGTGGGCCCGAAAAAACATATTCTAGGGTTTTGCTTCAGGAATGGGGAAACAACTTGTGATCACTCCGGTTCAGCCAACGACACAATGGGAGATGCGCACCGATCGTCGTGAATCGTTTGAGGCACTGAAGCTTCTCCGGCACATAGGCCCCCAAGAAGGTCATCAACAAAGCTTTTCACTCCCACAAGGCTGAAGCTTGATCATGAGACAGCTGGAGACGGCTGGCTACAGCTAAGGCTAAGACTCCAACCGAGAGAATCCTACCATCGAGACGGCTGGCAACGCAAAAACCTCTGCAAACCAACGCAGAAACGCCGTTGATACTATACATGTTTAGATGAAAGCACCTCAACTGATTACTCAAATCGGTAGACTCCAATCATATACAAATCAAATAATACTCAATCACTATCCTTTGCAGAATGCCGCGTCTGCCGGCATGAATAGTGGCTTTGGTGTGGGTGGAGGGAAAGCACAACGAGCCCGTAATGTTGCGACACTGGCCGCTTTTGCGAAGAGCCGAGTGGACCAGCCGGCGCCTGCGGGGCAGAGTCGAGCCGGTGTTTAGGTCGACCCACTGGGGGGAGTGAGTAAGACACGTCGGGGTCCTGACGATGCAAGTCCAAGAATTCATGTTCCAACCCAACAAGATGTGTATTGCAGCCCAGCCTAGCCCAAAGAAACACAAGTTCGTGCAAACAGCCTGAGCAAATCAAAGAGGCTTCTCTGGAGAACAAAAGTTCTCTTGAAGGCTTTGGTAGATGATGAAGGCTTTGGTCATGTTGGGGAACGCTCAGGAGCACATGGAACTCATGGGATTCGGATCGATTCAGATCGATTTTGCTTCGAGCTGTAGTTGGATCCCTCTTGCTCTATGATATGTTCACAAAGATTTCCAAACATCCCAGTTTTGGGTTGATTCAGCCTTTGAGCTGCGCATGCCAAATGAAATGTATGAAAGCCAAGCTGGAAGGAAAAGACTGGCAACTGGAGAGGTTGTGAGAGCCATGGATCTTTTCAGCTTTTCAAGAGTGACCAATCTTAGTCTAAGGAACCTGGGACAAAATCAAATACAAAATCCCCAGGAAACTCCCCAGGAACAAAGGGAGGTTCACCTCCAGAAAACCCAATCACATCACATGGAAAAACCAAGGAAACAAAGAACTTCAGCGCTTCTCAGCCATACCCCCCCGGAACCAGACTCCAACATCTCAAAACCTAAGTGCTGTGTGATTACAAGCCTTTGGCATTTCTTGAGCCTGTTTGCCCGGAGGGCTCGGTCGCCGAAACAGCTCTTCAGCTACTCATCCCCGCCTTTGGAGCGCCGTGGCCCCCTGTTGCCTGGCAGTTTTGGACCCACAGTGGCCACACCGCGGGTTTGACAAGAGCCCGGAAGTGTCTGACAAGACAAAAGTGTCAGACAAGGGGGTGCGACGAAACAGCGTCAACCGGATTGGGCCAAAAGAACATGTGTTCGGTTGCTTTTCCCTAACCATCATGGGACCAGAGCCAACTGGAGGCTCCAAGGACGACCGGGGTGTTGGACTCGAACTCAACCTTCACCGACTTGAGGATCCAACGATTCTTAGAGTTGTTGGACTTCTTGGACGGCAAAATCCACGGTCAGAAGGGATCGTCTTCGTCTTCGTCACTCTTCAGAGGCCTTAAGATCTTGCAGTTGGGGATTCCAGGAACCGGGAACACATTAAAACATTCCCCAGTTTCAGGGATTGGCCCAGTTCGGGAGCATAAACATCATCCGATCAGCAACACCAGGAATATCATGGGGAATTTTGGACTGATCTGGGACGGACCAGACGTTGGCAACTATTTGTCACGCATGGTCTATGAGATTGGAGCCGACGGGATGAGATTGGGTTCATCCTCCCCAAATGGGTGTGACTTCCATGTCAAACTCAGCGGCTTCTTGTCGTTCAGAAAGTTCAGGTCTTGCACCTGATCCAAGTTGAACGTGTGGGTGCCATTTAACATATATATATATATAATATATATATATATAGCGGATTATAGAGGACCCTGTACCCTTACCTTGCTCATCCGACATCCAGTTGGAACACCCCCCAAACCACCTAAATCCATGGTGACCACTGCGACCACGATCCCATCCCTCTCCATCACCTCCCACTCCGTCCTGCGACGACAGGCAGGAGCCAGAGTCCTCCGATGCTCGGCTCGGCTCGGCTGCGCGGAGCAAGAGATCCGTAGGGATCTCCACTCCCTGACTGAATCATATCCCAGGCACGACCCGTCTGGGACTGCCAGTCCGGACTGGAGAAATGGCCAGGGGTGGTGCCAGGGGGGGGGTCAATGGGGCGGCATATGGCAGTCCCATGAAGTGTCTGGGTATGGTGATGGCATGGTCCCTGGGTTTCATCCTGGGAAGACCCAAAGACCCCCCCCCCCGGGTCTTTGAAGATCAATGAGACCCAAAGCAAAAGGTAGGGGTGCCTCGGTGTCTCTCTCATCCAAGATATACACTCCCTGCAATCATGTCTCCACGTGGTGGATGGAAAATCCTCCCTAAAAGGATCACGAAATCCGAAGACCCAACGGGTCGGTGAGCTCACGAGAGTCCCTTAACGGTCTACAGATCCGAGGCTGGTAGACTTGGAACTCTCGCTGGGTCCAATCCTGCAGGTGATGATCCATGTGATCCAATAACCCAAATCAATCTTCACCACTCCGCCCGAGTCCCAGAAGATCAGAAGATCCCCGGAAAAGTAAAACGGTGAACCAAACTTTTGGATTTCATGTTGAGTAGTTAAAACCAATTCCCAAAATAGCTTAGAGGATGTTAAAGGTGATCCACTGCTTCACTGGGTAGGCCCCTTGCTTCACTGCTTCGTCACTTCGCGTCTCCGTCACATCGCGAGCTCGGCCGTCGGTGCCGGTGCCGTCGAGCTCCAGGCCTCGCCTTCGTCAGCATGGGACTTCTGCCTGAGGTTCCAAGACCCAACCACCTGTCTGGGACTGGCAGGGGATGGTGAATGTGGTGAAAAAGTGGTGGAAACATGGGGTGGTGGATCACCACCTGTCTGGAGATTCCAATCCACTGGGAAAGAGTCTAAAGACTCGCTCTGATCTGTCGCGCTCGGTACGTCACTCGTTATGAGTTGGTCTACCGAGCACTGCCGAGCACCTGAGCAAATCAATATAAACCCATTCGCCACCGTGAGAGGATTTGTTTGATGTTCTTCTTCCATCTAGGGCCTGCCAAGAACCACCAATCGGGCTATCCCACTAACGAATCTGGCGTCACTCGAATGCGGGAATGCCGCCACCCAACCTTCGGATCCAGTGGTCGCAGGGGACTAAGGCAGCAGCCAGTTTTCTTTCGCTTTGATTCTTTCTCTTTTTGCTCCCTGAACCTGACGCCACGGAGCGACATGCCCCAGCTTAGTCTGCCATGCCACACCGGACAATTGGATCGTCACAAGCCACTCACTGTGACCGGAACAGACCTGAACCATCCTGAACCCTTCCGTTTTTTTTGAGGGACCTCCGTGAGGCCAAAACCAGGGTTCTTCTGGTGCATGAAGGAGGATCAACAATTCAAAACGGTTCCTTTACTTTCCCTGAAGTGAATTTCAATCTATGTGGCTTCATGTGGCTTACAAACCCCGAAGACAACTGTCACGGGACCGTTTCGCAAGTGGGAAGTGGGTCCAAAAGTCATCCAACACTCTGGAATGCCCTCAGTCACTTTAGTCTGATCCCAGTGAGCACAAAAGGAGTACACTCCCTGGATTCATCATAATTGTATAACCCATTCCAAATAGGTGCTGTTCCACTTCCATGATCCTCACGGAGCGTATAGAATGAGGAAACAGAATCGAACAGAAATAATATATCCGGTGCCCAAGGGAAGAGGCCTTTTCATCGATGAGCAGGACCTTTCATCCACCGTTTTCCGATGTTTGTTTCAGTCAGAGGAGTTGCTTCACGTCACAGGGGTGTTCACTGGCCTAAACACAAAAACTTGTCGCAAGTCTTTGGGATGCGATCTGATGCGATACGAAGGGCAGAGCCTTTTGTCCGCCGTGCATCGAGCAAAGGACTGAGCAAAGGTTAGGATGGTTAGGTACACCCCGGAAGACTAACATGGACCCTAAAATCCACGGGTTGGTAGAGGAAAACCAATCTTCCAGGGGGCATTGTCAGGGTCCACGTGAGTATATCCAAGGTAAAGACCCTTCTCAAAAGTACTGGGACACACCCTGGTTTCAAAGGATAAATCTCCAGGTTCGTTCCCAACCACTCCATGGGCCTGCCCCCCTTTTCAAACATCCAGTATGTTTTCTGAGTCTGGGCCAGGGGTCAATCATTAAAGCAGGTTGATCGTATACATATAGTATCATGACATATATAGTTGCATAATAGTTTAAACATTCCAACCCTTCGATCAACCGTTCATTAAACATCCAAAGATACAATGTCTCGTTACCGGCCGATCCATTTCCAGCGGACTCATCACCATTCTCTGAGCTGCCGGCCATTTGCAACCCTACAAATCCTGGCGTATCGAGCCAAGCATTTGGCAACTCGTGTTCAAGACCACAGCCGATCTTCGATTGCACCAAACTCGTCCAGTGGTCTTGAATCAGGTTGTTGTTGTAATTCTCTGACGATCCGTGTACAATGACAACCACAAAACCACAGGAACGATGTGATATGATGTGATTAATTTATTAAATGTATATATACATAATAATCATGGTTGAATATATATATTCACATATCCGTTGTAAAGTTAATACATGTCTTGTATCATTGATGTTTGTAATATTATAGTGATACAATTACAGCAACTCTCCATCTTCCCAATGTTTAATCAACTCCTTTCGAACGCCCCCAACGCTCTTGGCAGCCGGAGGCGGCCGGCGTCGGAGGCGGTACTTTTTCGGTGTTCAATCGGTAGCTCCAGCGACACCAGGTGAGGTGACCTTTGAGGCCATTTCTGCTTTGATCTCATGAATTGTTGATGGGTAAGATCCGGGAGACCCAGGGGTTTTCCAAACGGCTGGATTTCCTGTACCAGCACCCGACTCTAGAGGTCACCACCTGCCATGTTTAAGTCTCCAAAAGCCCACCAGAAGAGAAGTGCTGGAGGAAAATGCTGGTAGATGACATGGCGGGTCCTCAGTCCCTGGTGGGAGCTGAGCTCCGGAGATGGTTGGAGAAGACTGGCTTTTCGGCTTTTCAGTGTGACCAAGGATTGGCGATGACATGTCAGGGTATGTCATCCAAACCCTGGCAAGTTGGTACGTCAACCAGTAGTCTACTTGCTAGGGTTTGGATGGCATACCTGACATGTCAAACAGCCCTTCGTTTGGGAAGTTTGGGCGCAGTCTTACGCTCTGACCGCGCAAGACGCTCTGTGTACTTCGACTGCCTCGTGATTTTGCTCTTCGGCCCAATGCAGGTAAATATTGCAGTCCCATGGGTCCTGTCACTGTTTTTCGTCCACGCCATCGAACGAAGCCAACGGAACGAATGGGGCGAATTGGCCGCAGCGGCGTTTGCGCCGCAACGCGATGCCGCGGAGGGTCCTGGGTGTTTTGGGTCTGGCTCCGGCTCTCCTACAGCGTTCCGTGCAGAGTCACGTGGAAGAGAACCGGATTCGTGTGGAAACGGATCCCTTGAGATGAAAGAGAGAAGGGACGAACAATTGGGGGGATGATTTTCCAAAGAAGAGAAGCTGATTGCCAGGATGTGAACTATGTTTCTACCATTTTCTACATAGATCTAGGCTGCCAAGCTCCATGAAACCAGCAACAAACGGACGGCTGTCCTAGCTTGTTGATTTGGACATTCACCTGCAACTTTGGATCGTGCAACCTACACCTGGGCCATCTACTCTGACATCGGCAGTCACCAAGGACCATTTTGAGAGAGGAAAACATCCAAGTCCTGGAGTCCCCAAATCTGTTTTCGTAGCTAAGGGAGTCTTAGGTTAAGCTGTGTTTCCTCATTGATGATGGGAAAAGCTCTATGTTGTATTTTTAATCCTTGTTTAATATAAGATACTATATATATATATACAGTATATATATATTATGCATTATTATGCCATGTCTATCACAAGTGCCCTTTGCCGCTGCCAAATGAGCAGGGCTGTCCAAATATTGACAGAGTCGTAAGTTCCATGTATACTCGGACCCAAAAATGCCGAAGCCAAGGTTACCGAGGGCATCCATCCACCACCCCTAAACTCGAACCCAGACCCCAAGTGGTGCCTTCACTTGTGCTTCCAAGAGCAGGGAATTCAGGAAATGTTGTTTTTGTTCAGCTTTTCCCACATAGTCTTCGTCCATGCTTTGATTCGACATGCCGGTGCTTTGCTGCTGCCCCCAATCCTGCGACATGATGTTCTGGGTGTAGTTCGCCGACGAGTATGCTGAACCTCCGGAATGAGAGTCTCGTCGCGTCGCTGCTGTTCTGAGTGTCAACCAGAACCGAAACAGAGTTTTGGGTTTGGTACCGATCGATCTATTTGGAGAATTGTAAGCTTACAAACAGCAAGAAAACATGTATTGAGTGCTTGGAAGCAGGCGCTGATCTCAAAACAGCACGTGCGCTCCACCTGCAATGTGTCATCACGTGTCATCAGCCTCATCCTCTCAAAACAGGTGAGGCTATGAAATCAGAAAATCTCAAGGCTTCAGAGAAACACCTCTCAGCCTCACCTGAGATCGCCTCTGACCCACTGCCCATGTATGTCCAACCAAATTGGAGATGACATGTTCAATGTTGAGACTGTGGAAAGCCGACCTCAAACATGGAGACCGGGCAGGCGGAGTGGTTTTGGGGGACCGATCAAAAACGTAGGGCCTTCGTCGCATTCGTCGGGTCCGACCTGTCAACGACCCGACATGTTTGAGTGGATTTAACCCATTTGGTCACCCAACCCACCAGAGTTTCTGAAAGGAAGACACACCCAGAACGTTCGGCAACACCAGCTGTTGATTTAGTGATGTCATCCTCCCCCCCCCAAAAAAAAAAAAACAATCCACCCACGCAACACCAGCTGTCATTTTTGGGTCGGCGAAACCGGGTGCCTTGTGACAGTTCACTTTGCTTTCGGAGATTTTTCCCCTTCTTCTTTCGGTCCATTGAGCCTTGACTCCTGCGGATCCGCGCCGCGCGCGTGACACGCGACTCGCCCGCGCGTGGGGCCAACGAAAACGATGGATGATCTCATGTGGAAACTGATGGATCTCATGGGTTTAGATACACAGGTTGGCACAAAAACTACCAGATTGATTGTTTCACTTGTTTTTCCCCAAGCAGTGTGGTCACACTGGAGGTTCGGTGCTGGTTTCTAGATCCAGGTAGCACATCACGGTCAGACTGTCGACCGTCTCGCAAAGGACGCAAAGCCGGGTGTGTGGTCCGGTACATATAATTTGATCATTGTTCTTCAATAGAGGATAGTCGGTCAAACCGAAGTTAATGTAATGTTTACAAAATATAGTAAAAGCTCTTCGTTCTTCATACTTATGTTTCGCTGATTGTACAGCATATCCAAGTAGCGGCGAACATACTAGACCGTCCTGCGGTCGAACGTTTGCAAGATGAAAGGCAAAACGTGCGAACAACCTGAGTTCTATTGGTGATGTCAAACCTCCTGATCACTGTATTTGTTATATCAAGTTTCAAAGAAAAACATCCAGGAACCAAATCATGCCTGTGGTCCCTTGGCAGCCAAGGTGCGCCGACTAGAAGCTAGGTTGTAAGTCGCGCTACCTCTACCCCCGTCCCCCCGTCCACTCCCTAAAATGGTGGACGAGCATGTTGATTTACAAATGGATCAAACAGGTGGTTGTCCACTTCCATGATGGTTCCGGGGAGTGCACTAGGAACAAGGACGCTACTAGGGGCTCCTGGCCGTACTACTAGGAACAAGGACGCTACTAGGGGTTCCTGGCCGTGCTAATAGGAACAAGGACGCTACTAGGGGCTCCTGGCCATACTACTAGGAACAAGGACGCTACTACGGGCTCCTGGGCCGTACTACTGGGAACCAGGACGCTACTAGGGGCTCCTGGCCGTACTACTACCACTGAGAACAAGGACGCTGCTAGGGGCTCCTGGCCGTACTACTAGGAACAAGGACGCTACTAGGGGCTCCCGGCCGTACTACTAGGAACAAGGACGCTACTAGGGGCTCCTGGACAAACAAGGACGCTACTAGGGGCTCCTGGCCATACTACTAGGAACAAGAACGCTACTAGGGGCTCCGCAATAGTAGGAACAAGGACGCTACTAGAGGCTCCTGTACTACTAGGAACAAGGACGCTACTAGAGGCTCCTGGCCGTACTACTAGGAACAAGGACGCTACTAGGGGCTCCTGGCCGTACTACTAGGAACAAGGACGCTACTAGGGGCTCCTGGCCGTACCTAGTACAAGGACGCTAGGGGCTCCTGGCCGTACTACTAGGAATAAGGACGCTACTAGGGGCTCCTGGCCGTACTACTAGGAACAAGGACGCCTTGCGCACAAGCTTCCCAGGACCCTTCGCCGTATTGGCGGGTGTCTGGGAGTGGAGTCAATATCTTGTTGTAAGATAGCAACGTGAGAAAAGCGACCTACCACAACATCTAACTATGTGAAATCGAATATCCGCGCTGCACACAGGGGTCCAGGCAAGTCAATTACTAATTCGGGGCTGCTGGGATCGGGACCGAGCTGAGGCCACCTTGACGATTCCACACTTTGCGAAGATTTCGCCGATACAAGAAACATTTTTCGAATGTTAGAGAAACGGCGTCGGTAGCTGCAAAGTCTGGAACGGTATGATGCATTGGTACAAGGCCATCTGGATGATATGGGGGTGTGCAATGCAAATCTGCCGCATATTTAATAAGGGTACGCTGTACCGCTCCGGAGTTAGGGATTTCGGGTCGAAGGGCAAATCCGCCAGTGTAAGAGCGGCCCCAACCAATCTGCGTCAAGCTTAAAGAACCGGTTTTAGAATATTTAGGCACGAGAGGAGTATTAGAGTACCCTTGCAAATATAAAGCAATGGTTCGAAAAGCTTCGGCTTGTTCACGGAGGGAACGTTGGTGATCGGCAGGGCCAGGACACGAGGGTCTTGCCAGTGAACAGGTTGTGCCCTTTTATTAAATTAGGGGCACTACTTTTTTTCAACCCCCCAACCTTTTTTTCCAACCTCCACCCCTTTTTTTCAACCCCCCAACATGTTTTTTCAACCTCCCACCTGTCTTTTTCAACCCCCCCTTTTTTTCAACACCTGCTCTTTCTTTTTCAACCCCCCGTCTTTCCTTTCCAACCCCCCAGCCTTATTTCTGAGGATGCCTGTGTTGTTTACTCCCTGCTCTGTGAGGATGCCTGTTAGCCAAGGGTGCCTGTTAGGAAGCGGGGTGGGGGGTGCAGGGGGGAGGGCGCAGCGCCTCCCCCCGCAACAACGTGAGGATGCCTGTTAGCCAGCTTGCCTGTTAGGAAGCGGGTGGGGAGTGCACGGGGGGACGGCGCAGCGCCTCCCCCCGCATCGACGTGAAATGCCTGTGTCCTGTATTACTTAGTCCTTGCTCTGTGAGGGCGCCTATTAGCCAAGGGTGCCTGTAGGGTGCCTGTTAGGAAGCGGGTGGGGGGTGCAGGAGGGTACGTGTGGGAGCTCCACGCAGGGGTTGGAATAGAAAGATCAGGGGTTGGAATAGAAAGATTAGGGTTTGAAAAGAAAGGGTAGGAGGTTGAAAAGAAAAACACAGGGGTTAGAAAAAAAAACAATGGGGCTTCAAAAGAAAAGGTCGGGGGGTTAGAAAAAAAGGATTGTGGGGGTTGAAAAGAAAGATTTTTGAGGGGTTGGAAAAAAAGGGTTTGGGGGGCTGGAAAAAAAGGGTAGGTTGGAAAAAGAAAAGGTTCGGGGGTTGGAAAAAATGGAAGCCCAGAATACCTTCTCTTCATCTTCAATGAGGGGAGTGGTGGATATGAGGTCTTTGATGGACTGCGCAGCCTCCTCGATTCCTCCTCTTCATCCATCAAAGACCTCATATCCACCACTCCCCTCATTGAAGATGAAGAGAAGGTATTCACCGTCTTGTACGCCTCAGTGAGAGATACTCCTGTAGATTGTCCAAGCATGACTGTCGCTTGAAGCATAGACAAATCTGATGCTTTGGTTGCTTTCTGATGGATCTTTGACAGACTTCTGTGAGTCGGATCTTTTCCTCCAAGTGCCATGTCGAGAGAAGAGATCTTCTCTAGCATCTTGTTGACAATCTTGCTAACTGACGCTTTAAACTCATCTTGAAATTCTTCCGTGAGTTTTCCAAATTTGGCCTCCAACTCATCCCTCACTTTCTTTTCTGGAGCCTCTTGGTTTTTCAGTAGATCTGTGAAGAGCTTCTTCGTCTGCTTTTTTGCTGACCCGGAAGAACTGCTGCTCTTCTTGAAGCGATCCTGCAGATCCTGCCATTGCTGGTATTCAGTCATTAAGATCTCAACTCATCTGTGTTCATGTCGATCAGATCTTCTTGCTCATCTGACTCTTCCTCCGATGAAGATTCAGAATCCGAGGATGAAGATTCCGAAGAGTCAGAATCATCCTTCTTTTTGGATTTCTTCTTCTTCTTGTCCTTGGTTGTAGATGTCAAACACCCTTCAAAAGAAACCTCGCCCCCTCCAGTCACCTCTTTCAAGGAATCAAGATCCTGCACATCGATCCCAACAGCCTCTGTGATTTGGGGAATTGAAATCCAATGTTGTCCAACCTGCGCAGCAATCAGATCCTCTTCTGAGTCAAATTTGGTCTTGGACGCTGGCTTCTTGGGATACACAACAACGCTGATGCTTTTTGCAAACTCAGTCTTTTTCAGTGTTCCCTTCTTTGAACCTGTGATGTTCCTCAGCAGGTCCGATAGTGAGCTCGTTCGCTTCTGGGCCACATACATCGTTCAAGATCAGTGGACAGAACGAAACGATTTGAGATATCCTCTTGCACAAAAAAGTGCTTAGTACCTGGCCGTACTACTAGGAACAAGGACGCTACTAGAGGCTCCTGGCCGTACTACACCCTTTCAAAAAGAAGCTCGGACTTCATCCTGTCGGTGCTTCGCTGAGAAGGTGTCAGGCTCGCGCTCTGACTGTACCTCGGCCGTTTTTGCGTGTTTCGGATCGTGCCGAGCATCGGACCCCTTGAGGCAGCCGGAGCATTTGGATGTAAATGCCCTTAATGAACAACCTATACCTGAAATGTGACACGGTAAAAATTAAAAACCCTATATATAGGCCCTTTGGATACCAAACTGACAAGATCTGGAACCGAACACCTGGAACCTGAGTTTCTCGGGCTTCGATCTTGGGCTCCCGAAGTCTTTTAGCACCGAAAAATTGACGGACGTCCCGTGTACAACCTATAGGAGTCTATCTAAAGCAAAGTCTCGGAGGATTCACCAAACTCTCTCCCTGTTGGTATCAGACTCTCTGGTCGCTACGATGGAAAATGCCGAAACGCCGCCTGTCCTGTTGAGTGGGGTGGGGTTTCCCACAAATCCCCAAAAGGGTGCAGGACACAGGTGATCCACGTACTTCCTTTTGAAACAGATGAGGCAAAACAAAGAGGTATCCATTGGGGTATATCCGACTACGAGTCGATGATGCTGTTTAGGTTGCAGGCCCTTCTTCAAAATAGTGTTAGTGTCTACCTACGTATACAGGTAATGGGACAGGTTCAAGGTACTATATCGTTCATCAAAAAGCTCCTAAGATCGACGTCAATCTGGGACTGTGGATCACAGGTCAATGATTCTCACCGAAAAGAACCATTTTGGAAGGGTTTGGGGGCGAGAAGGTATGCCTACCATCTCCGCTTGGAAGAAGTGTGTGAATGTGTAAACACATCAAGACCATGCATATGTCACAGCTGTCCCAAGTTCTCAGTGCTGCAATGTAAATCATATGCCACCCACCCTCGAGCTGCATGCTTTTTCCCCGCGACACGAGACGTGGCGAGGGCGGACGCACGTCAGTGCGATCCTAAAATCAACGCTGCGAGCCTGCTGGGCTGGGCCCTGGACACTTGAGCAACTGGAAAAAACTCACTTGTTGAAGAACATGGCTCTCACCATGCAGGAAATACAAGTTAATTAGGTGTCTCTATATATTGTATGTTGGGGAGTGACCTATCAGTTGATCATCACCCCAATCCTCGAAAACCTGCTGACATGGAACTCCGGCGGAATGGAACCGCTTCCACTTGCAGAGTTCTTTCTTAACCCCCCAAACTCAACGCGCTAAACGGTGGAACATGCCCCAAATAGGAACAGAAGATTCCCAAACACACTCCCATTGGTTCCAGTGTAGGATGTATAGGTGCCCCGGCCTCCAAAGTCGAACAGGGCCACCTTGGAGTTCCCTCTACTTCGACCAGGTGGCACACTCTGTCCACCCGTCTGGAACTGGCATATGACTGAAACAGGAAGGGGTGCTTAAAGGGGTGGTTGAATGTGGTTCACCGGGGTCTGTCTGGAGCGGCATATATTCAGGTGCCAGGCAGGTCATGTCTGGGTATTCAGGAGAACCCATTGGTCCCCAAATATCACGGTTGCTTGGTCCCCCATTGGTCCCTACCACCGTTTTCATCTATCAGCATGAGGAGGTCTTTGGGTGATTTGGGATCAGTCCTGAGCAGCGCATGTGACGCATGTGGTAGAGTTTTGTCGCATGGACGACGTGTTTAAAGAACAAAACAAACACTTGTTTGGCTCAAACAAACATGCAAGTATATGGTTTGTAGTCCATCTTTACCAGTTTTGTTCGGAGAGAAACGCTAGGTGTCTGGCCCAACCCCTGTCAAAGCTCCCTACAAGGGGACTTCGTGTGCAGCCTCAATACCCTCTGCGTGTACTTCACTTAGCTGGCCTGTCAAAGCATGTTGCGAAGATCGGCAAATCTGTTGGCACCTGTGGCAAAATGATGTCTAGAAAAACTCGTGTTGGTTGGGTTGCTAGTCGTGCCTAAAACGATAACATGTGTAAATCAGTTTGAAGCTGATTCACTCAATTGGGTAAAGGCGTGTTTCTTCAAAGGACCTGGAAAAGGACGTCGGAAACAACCAAGAAAAGATGTAAGGACCTAATAAGGCCTATCGGTCTCATGAGCGGTCCCAGTATACAATCCTCACCTAAACCCCATTGATGCTAGTGTCCACATATTTGGCCAAACATTCACCCAAGACCATCGATTTGACCCGTATGTAAACGCCTTCTTGCACACATTTGCACACCACCGACTGAGGGTATTAGCACCTTGAAAAGTACGGGTCGCACCACAAGGAAAACCCGCCAGGAATTGGTCCGAAGAAATCGGCTGAAGCCACTCACTTGGTCAGCTCCTTGAGCTCGCTCGGGATGGGGCCTCATTTCCGGCGCTTGGGGACAGGGGCGCGCAGAGGGGGGGTGTTTCGCGGTGTGTTTGCAGCTTCTTGTTACCAGCAACTCACTTGCTGCTAGTATTCATGGGGGGCCTTCGTTGAGTCCGGCCCGTTTTCGGGCGCGTATCTCGGGCCGTCCCGGTGCGGACTGGAGACGCGGGCCAACAAGAACCAACCCAGGAGGCTCACCCGACTCCGGAAAGGCTCTGGGGTCGAAGCACTCGGATCGTCCCCAGGAACTGGAGCTCTTCGACTTCGACCGATGCTTCCAGGTGACTCCAAGAAGCCCCCCCCCCCCCCACCCCCACGTTACTTGATATTCACCAACAAAAGGAGATTCATCCATTGTAGGGAGCATGAGATGTTCAGAATTCGCCAGGAATCAGCTATGTGTCACACAAAGCGACCCATCGAACATGGCCTCGCGGAATATCCTCTTGCACTGCCTTCATGAACTCTTGCGTGACCAAGGTTTCTCTGAGGTGTCTCCCCTTGCACCAGGAGAGGTCGCCCCAGAAATCACTGCTTTGACAGAGTGTATCAGTGTATCTCTTCTGGATCAAGAAAGTCATACCAGTATAGCTCTACACAAGTTGCTGTGACCTTTCAGCGGCAAACAGGAACTTACCCGGCTTGTTCTCCTTTGCGTCAGCCCCGGATTGAAAAGGGTCGATTCGGTGGGTAAAAATCCACGACATTTGCAGGGATTGCTGGATGTAAGTTGGACCAAACAAAAACCATTCCATTTCAGTGATTGCAATAAACAAAACTGTATACTGTATACATGATCCAGAAAGGACCTAGAGATGGGCGGTATCATGCAGTGGATGAATACAACAAGTATTTGGGAAATGTTATGATGACATTTGCGGGCATTGTTGGACATCAGTTGGACCTCGGAAAGCTCTCGTGGGGACCGTGCCGGATCTACTCTCATCAAAGGTCCCCATGTCCAAAATCTCTGCGTCGTCTCACTCTGTGTTGTCTGTTTCTGCCGACAGGCATGGCTTGAACTTCTCGTCCTTGCCGAAGGTGAACTTGCCTTGAATGAAAGGCACTTGAACCGTCACCGGTGGACCCTTTTGGACCAACAGGCGCTCGTAGGCGCAAGCACAGTACAGGGGTGACCATCCAGTTGCTGACTGGTAAAGAAGATGAAGAACATGAAAGCCTGTGGGTTCTTGCTTCTTCAATCCACATCTATATAAATCCCTCGAGATTGCCCCTAAATTTGGAGAACTCGCCTTGGCTTGGGACCAAGATCTATTACCATCACACCATTAAAACTCTGAACATCTTTGCTTGAAACAAGAAAGGGCGTTTCTGTTCCAGACATCTCGAAGCTAAGACTGGCCAAGACCGCTTTGCAGCTTCGCTAGTCCAGGGTGACTCACCAGAAATCACCCACCAGGCCTCTCCTTGCTGAATCAAACCAGGTCATGTCGATCCATCTTGAATCACATCCATTCAAATCACAATTTTGGAGAGAAAAACATATCCGTAGATTGGGCATACATTGGGTATATCCATGTATATCCCATATAGTATCCCATTACCAATAACAGTGGATGTTTCCGCTTGGTTGGTAAAGGCCTTTCTCTAAAACCATGATGTTCTTGTTTACTGACTGTTTAAGAACGGACAAACCCAATTCATACATCTGAGTTGGCTTAAAGGACGGTTGGCTAAAGCACACCCTTGGCTACAGGATGGTCAAGACTAGACCTGCACCACCAGTGAGTTCATCTCCAGACAGGACAGCCCGATCATCGGGGTTGTAGAGATACCCCAACGAGTTTGTTTTTTCACCAGTTAGCAAGTCTTTTTGCGGAAGAACTCCCGGCTCAAGGAAGAAGATGGAGACCTCAAACTACCCTCAGACTACCATCTCTCCTAACTACAAGTAGTTTGCTGGGAGTATTGTGGGTGCTCGCATCTCCTTGAAGTTGAAGCCATCCATCAAATAGTGTTCACCATATTTGCTTGATTCTCTTGCACCTTGGTGACACCGTGAAGCACCTCCCGCTTCACCCAACCCATTCGACCCATTCGCATCCCTACGGCCAGGTCACAGGCGGCCTTGCCCGCGACTCGGCCGAAGACCACGCAGTCCAACAAGGAGTTACCGCCCAAACGGTTGTTCCCGTGGATGCCGCCGGCCGCCTGAGGCGAGGCGATGTATTCAGGTTTTGGGTCGCCAACATCGCCTGTTTCGTGTTGGGAAGGGTGTGTGTTAGACGGATATGACTTGTCCATTTTGGTTCGTAGACGAGGACTTCAGAGTCCGTTCCCAGAAGATTCAGGAGCGTCCTCATTGTTTTAGCTTGACTCGCAGTGGTCAAAACACCAAAAACGCCTATGCCGATGAGCTTCCAAACTCAAAGCACCCCCACACGAGTGAGATCGCAATCATTGATCATTGAATTGAAGTTGTCAATCCCGCTAGGAAAAGTACAAATAGTTCCAGAGGGTGAAGACGCAAGAGGTAGAACACATGCAGCTCTTCTGGCAGCAATAAGCGACCATCATAGGTACCCGGATACGCAGGGTCTATGTCCACGGGGTCGGCATTGTTAGTCCTGAGGAATCCTGAGGACCAAAGCAGAATGGTGCACCATCGCTCGACTGGTCCCACCTCCCCAGCCACGTAGAGCCCGGGGATCGCTTTGCCCGTCTTGTCAATGCACTCGGCGTCCACGGTGCACTCCAACCCGCCCA